TAGCTGCAGGATGGGGTACATATATCGGTTTCACCCCCATATTGTATGAGCCGTGCGCATGGAGACCATGCTGAGGAGAGTGAACCCCAGAAGGAATAACAAAGTCAGATGTTATTATAGTACACCGCGTGGCACACACGGGAAGAAACTGTTGGGGTACAGCGTGTACCCGGCTCAAATTATGAGCCTGGACGACGACTACAGTGGTGTTGTCTCGTGCCCTCAGAAAAACAAATGGCCTTTGTAGCCCTATGGCATCCCAACCTAAACGCCTTACTTGAATTGACACTCCCCCCCACAAACGCATTATCTTGGCAACCAAGTACTATGAACGCATCTCTCGGTCACCATGTTCCCGTTTATCCGTACGTCATGTTCGTCTTTGCGCCGGGCTGCTGTTGTTGACCTTGTGGTGGACCCCATCCGGGTTGCTGATTATATCCCGGTCCAGGCTGCTGGCCTTGAGGCTGCATCTCGTTACCCGCACCTCTGTGTTGTTGTTGGACGTCTTGTCGGTTACTATTAAAATCAAACGTTAGCTAATATTCTCATATACCCAATTCATCGAATAAATCCAGGGGGTTTGTACTCTAGGGGTTGCGCAAAGCCGCAAATCCGACAGACAACGTCTTTATAGGCGTGTGTGGAGAGCGGAAGGATGGGCACGAAGCAGAATGTGAACCAGTTCCACCGCTTCATCACTGTCGCCGAGTGGTTCCCCTATTGAAGTCGCACCGGTTAGCGACGCTCCGTACTGTATAATGGGATCGGCCTGCCATAATATATAGGGCCTAAGTTCAAGGGACTCGGGTTTGAACCTACACAGTTGTGGCATTGGGCTGTAACGCCCTCGTAACCTTTCAGTTCTGAGGAGAACTCATGTTCACCACATGTGAAGACGATACCTTGGTGGTGTTAGCATTCTCCATCATGTCTTTCTGCCCCGAACAGATCTACTCACACATTGTGAGGGTTCAGTAGTAGTAATTGTATTGTATTCAAAATTTCCGACGGCGCAGAGATATGTTGCGGTTAAAGAGGTTCAGAAGCTCCCACCTTGGTAATTCTATGGTTTCACCCGGATGTGCTGCGCCAGACTTGCACACGTCAACGGTGACACACGTGACGTCAGAGCTCCTTGTGGCGCCTATTAGCGTCATTTTACCCGCAGCCGAGGCAAAGCGGGGCACGCGGCCGCAGAGTCACAAAATATATTTTGCAAGAGCTCGCGAAGCTCTCTTCTCTTTTCTTTCCTCTTCAGCGTCGTCCCCCTCAACGTTGCGTTTCTATGCTACAAACAGATACCTGCGCAAGCTCCGTGTCAAAGATCTTCGGATCACATCTTATTTGCATATGAGAAATTCGGAGTAATCTTCAATACACCTCACTCCCTTCTCCGGAAGGTGCATAGGTCTGCCGGTAACGGCCTGGCGTGTTTCACGTCTGCAATTGGCATCAGAAAAGCAGGGCGGACCCATGTCTTGTATATCTTGAGAGAGAGAAGAGGGCGTGTGGTTCGTTCCTATGGAAGGGCTATTGCGAAGATCGTGTATGTCAGATGAACCGCCGTGTCCCTGCCTGATGCCTGACCCGAGAGGGGAGGGGAGATGGCGGGGTTCGGTGACTATAGAGGCATGACACTTAAGTACAATACGCAACGTGCTGGCTCTGTGGCGGCTTGCCGCTGTAGAGTTGGTACAATTCGATTCTGATTACTCTGTTGGGGACGACGCTCCACACTTTTTTTTTCAGGTATGTGGGATTTGTATTCACCGAGGTATGGGATACTACTAATATTTCTTGTGATTTTGAATTTAGTTTAACCCCCGCAATAGAGGTGGCAGTGCCAACACGTGCCCTGGCAACACACCTCAGAACTGATTATCTGCCTCTGGTCCAAAGTCAACACCACCACCGAAACCATCTTCTTGCTCGTCGTAGTCTTGAGGTTTCTGGGGATCGACGAGCGCTTTCAGCTGGCCTAGCTCCTTCACCAGCTCTGAGCAATATTGCCTTGAGCGGTATACCTTGCCCAAAAGCGACCGAATCCCTTCGCCAGAAGTCTCGATTTTGTCCTGAAGTAGCTTTGCCGAGTCGACACTCGTTTCATCCTTTCTCGACTTTGGGGTTGGAATCATGGCGGTGGCTGCCTTTTTCAAACACATGTCCAGCTTCGTCGCCTGGAGTCGAAACTTTTGGCACGGCTTTCGCAGTTGGTCCTCCCACTCGTTGACCTCCTCCTCGCTCTTGATCGAGTCTCGGCGGGAAGATGGAACTCCGATTCGGCGAGACCACAGCTCCCTCAAGATGCCATCGCCCGCGTATTTTTTGATGGATGTGACCTCATTATCAAACTCTTGTTGAAAATTCTGATAGAATTGTTCGGCCTGCTCCAGTTGATGGAACAACTTGGCGCATGCACTCTCAAAGTTGGCGGTATTGTCCTCATGTGTTTTCTCTCGCTCAGCGTGGGAATCTCGTCGTGGCCGAGGGCGATGATCATGGCGTGGACCAGCCGGCGGCTGAGGATCGTAAAATTCATCCCACTCATAGGGATACCCTGGGGGAGGCGGGTACTCAGAGGGGTTCGGAAACCTTGGATGTCCCACGTTCATCAACATCCGCCTATGGTCAGGCGGCCTCCTAGGGTCTCCGATCGTTAGATCAGAGAAGAAACTCCTATCTCTGTCTTGTCCCCTCGTAGCCGTCATCGAACGGCGGTCGGGAGCCATAGAACCTCTCCACATCATGGGAGGCAAGAAAGTATGCCGGCTCACATGGCTCCTCCTTCGTTGGGGGGGGCTCTGCGGGACCCAGCGAGAAGAATACATCGTTGCGGCGATGCCAAACTTGTTGGCATGTTTCTATATGGCGCTGCATTTATACATGTATTCCTGGAAGCAGATAGACGGTGAGTTTGCTATGCAAGCACCCTGATTTTAGAGCAAGCCACCCTTGCCAATTCTTTCACACAGAGTTTCTTTATTTTCAGGAAGAGCTCTCTTACGTTCCACTTCGCCCTTTTTTTTTCTACGCACTTGCTTAATATTTCCCCCTCCATTTATTAAAAATATTTTATATTTAATCCTCGACACTCCAGATCAAAAATAGTTGAACAATAAAATAAAATAACAATAAAATAAAATAACAATAAAATAAAATAACAATAAAATAAAATAACAATAACAATAAAAACACCTTACAGACCTCAATTCTACCATCTACCTGTATCAACCCGTCCAATCCACCAAAATCTCCACAATGCCGTGATATAAACCAATATAATCGCAACCCGTCACGCATTTGCTCTCCCCATACCATAACGCATCTCGTGCATCGGGCCGCAAAGCCTCCACGTCATGTCTGCCAACACCATCATAGGGGTCCACACCCGTTACTAAGCCACTACACCACCAACGGGCGTGACCCCTCTATCCCAATTCGCCTTCCCTCTACTTCTAGTCCTCTAAGTCTACCCATCAAAGTATCAAAATACAACTATGTTCGGCTTAAGCCCCTCTTTCCCGCCCCGGTCCCTCGTGCCTCTTGTTGAAGAGGTCGCCGAGCTCCTCCGAGGACGCCGTGAAACCGTTTCCGTGGCCGAGACAGTGCGTAAACCTTTCATATTATGTGATATCTCTCCCTCATACACCTAGTGACTTACTTCCTTTTGATTCCGAGCTCCCCGGGTTTGATCCGCCGCCTCGGCGGCCACCCGATGCATCCGAGGAAGTCATGTGGTCCCCCCTCTCTTCTTCCCGTGACGCATTATTTTCACTGCAGCGAGATTTCGGGCCGGGATGGGGATGTTGGTGCTGATTCACTGTGCAGGCTGCCGGAGGGATAATCTCGGCTGCGTTGCTCAGCACGCCGGGTGCGAGCAGATTTTACAAGGGCGGGTTGACGGTATGTGGGTTCCGTGCTGCGGGATGCGTGGGATGGGTGGACAGAGAAGGGGAGAGAAAGTATGGAGAATGAAAGCTGATGTTTGGGAAGCTGTATACCCTCCCTTCACGGGTGCAGTTTGGTGAGTCATACAGCGTGTCCTTTTCAAGTCGATACTTTATACCCCTGTTTTCTGTATCCTCGGACACCTCCCAGATCCTGTCAAGATTTTAGAGATGCCCCATCTGGGCATTATATCCACCCAGCACAACAAAACTAACAACCCCGCCAGCCGGCTGGACAGAAGAGGACACCAAATCCTACACCGGCCCAACCCTCGGTGTCGTCTCCAAGCTCGCAGAGAATGTGCGTCCCAAACTAGACAGCACATACACCATCTGCGAGTCCGGCACTGCGGGGCCAACTGGAGGCACGACTAGGAACCGGACCCCGTAAGTTGCATATTCCTTTGCCCTGTATCTGCCGTGTGTGTTGTAAATTGAGGGAATGAATATCGAGAGGCCATCATGTGCATAAGAGGGAAAGGAAAGGAGGCTGATAGACAAACAGCGGATACGTAGCCCTCGCCGTCGCAACCCCTGAAGGCACATTCACTCGGGAAGTAGACACGGGATCCGCGGACCGGGCAGAGAATATGGTGAATTTCGCGGTGGAGGCGCTGAAGTTGCTGATTGATGTTATTAAAGGGGAGTGGGATGTGAAGGCGTCTGGGAGGGAGAGTCAGGCTGTGAATTGGAACCTATAAGTAAGATCGTAGGTTAATATAAACTTTTGGATGAAAGGGGCTTCATATAAAGGGGGTATGAGGTGGGAGAGGATAGAGAGATATAGAGGATGGAATTTGTCCTCTATGGAATGATTATGCCCAGCAACCATGTGCCAAACGCCTAGTATCACATGCTCCTATCCCACGCCCCTGCCGAATGGGCACAACAACAATACAACGAGTTATGCGGTCCGCATAACCCCACCCCTAGCCAATAATACACACCCCCTTGCCGCCTATGCCGCCTATGCCGCCCCACGCAGAGCAAACAGAACAAAGGAACCGCACCCTTATATACCACTCTACACCAGTACCTTTCAATTCAAAGGGCCCGATGGTCTAGCGGTAAGACTTCCGTCTCTCAATTGATCAACCATTCTTGGATACTTCAGGCTCAGATTTGGATATCTCGAGCTTGGGTTGATTGAGAAACGACGGAGAACTCCAGTTCGAATCTGGATCAGGCCACTTTTTTGTTGTTTTTTTGAGTTTTTTTTTGGACTGCTGTTCGCTGTTCGAGTGAGGACCGAGAGGCACGTATTTGTTCCCGTGATGCTTTAGCAGGCAGGTTGCCCGTTCGAGCGTCGGTTAAGGGGGCCTTTTTTTGGGGACGCTTTGTTTGCCGCTTGATTCGGCGAGGCACCCGCTCACAACTCCTTAAACGTCGTCTGGATATAAGGCATCCCACACAACTGCTGCATATCATCCTCACTCAACTTCTCCCTTATCCTCGTCAGATTGTTGTTGCCACCACCAAACGCTCCGACCCTAGACAGACCACAGACTCCAGGCACATTGGTATTTCGTCCACTCTGCAATATTCCAAAGCGTAACACAACCTCCGATACGGTGACAACAATACTGACAGCAATTAGGATGATGATGATCCACGTGATATTGCTCATCTTGGTGTCAGAGATGGAATCGGTGAGGATCTCGGCGAGCTCGAGGAAAACTCGACAGCGCTCGTTGAGGACCTTGATGCGGGGCGTGATCTCAAGATACTCGCGGACGGCGAAGTAGAGGGGATGGAGGGTGGGCTCGGAGTCCCAGAAGAAGTTGGGGACGTCGAGGATGTTGGATGCTGGATGGATATCAATGACTATTCGACAACTTGGGGTCCTCGATAGGGGGCAAAGAGCATTAGGGAAATACTTACAGAGATTCACGTCAACACGACTCTTGAACAATCGGCCAAGGATCTTGACAACTTCAGGACGAGACATGCCAAGTTCTCCTGTCAGAGCGAGGCGCTTCGGGACGTGCTGGGCGTCAAGCATAGTCTGCGACATCTTCTCTTCGAAAAAGCTCAGCTTCGTGCTTTGTGCAATAGCATGGCTCATAGCAAGCTTAATCATATGATCTCCACTGCGGAGGGTGATCATATCATTAAAGACTCTCGGCCTGTCGACAAACGAGCTATACTCGAAATGCAACTCCTCAGTCTCGAAGTCCGCCTCATCCTGCGGCCGCGATATAATCGACTGCCCCGTCTCCATCTCGGTGAACGTGAAATCGGCAAGGGTGTCCTTCTCCTGGCTCTCGGTGAAGTTCCAGAACACCACTACGCCGTACGAGAAGACGAACATCTCGGCGAAGGTTGTGGCATCAGGAGCGAGTCTGTTCGGGCTATCGCCCCTCTTACCCTGCTCTGCGAGTCTCTCCTCTTCCCTACCGCGTCTTTCCTCATCTTCTCGCCTCGTCCTATCTTCCTCGCTCTCGCCTGCTGGGCTCTCTTCTCCTCCACGGACACCGTACACATCCGTGTCCTCGAAATATCCTTCATGGTACACGCGTGCCTCGCTCCTCTCAATCTCCTCATCGAGCACCGCTTTACCGCCCGGGTGCTTAAGAATCGGACTACTCCTCAATCGATACCCTTCATTCCCCGGCAAGAGCGGCAGATGATAGACCGTATAAAGGCAATCATCATACAACTTCGTCTTCGCCCCATGCTGCTCCCTCACAAAGTTCGCCGTCGCCGCCATCTTAAACCCCTGCGCCGTACAATACGCCGTACACCTCGCCACCTTCTCCGTCCTCTTCGCCTTCGGCAATCGTTCCGCATAGCTCTTCCCCCTCAACGCCCCCTTCTTCCTCAGCTCATCCAGCTCCTCATTCCTCAACGGCCTCCCCTCATCCTCACTCTCCTCCACATACCCCCTCCGAAACGTCCCCTCCGCAACCCCCTCCTCGATCTCCCTCCCCTCCTCCAACTCAGGAATCAGAACAAGCTTCTCGCTAACCTTCGTTGTGCGCCCCGGGATATTAACCTGCGACGTCCGCGTACCAGGAGACACACCCGTAGCCGACAGGCTGCGCTGGACGCCCGGCCGCGCCGTCCTCGCGCTGGGCGCTTGGCGGGCTTGGCCGGAGGGGATTTCGGAGGAGTTCTGGAGCACGTTGTCGACGGATATGTAGCGTGTGGGCATTCGGGTGCGGACGTTGTTGGCGTTGCTCGCAGGCCGTGCTGGTTGGCGGGGAGCTGGGAGGCGCTCGCGGGAGTCGGTGACCTGGGTCTGAATTAGTCTCGAGCTTTGATATTGACCCGGAGAATGGGTATGCGAGGTCTTGAATGCTGCATGAGGGAGGGACTGGAACATACCAGGACCGATGGCCCACGTTTTCCTGGAGGAGCCGACATGACTGTCGTATCCTTCGGGCCAATTGAAGTATATAGCAAGCGTCTCTAATAAATCAGAGCAATAGCTGAGTTTTCAGTAGCTGAAATCACAAAATCGGTCGTCGTCGTCGTTGTAAACCACAATCCCTTATCTAACTTTCTCTCGCCTGGGCCCAAAGAAAGAGAGAGACCCAAGACGTCATGGTCCGAGCCATTTTGGCTCGGGCGCCACGCCGTTCGTAGCCTCGTCTCTCCGCCTCGCCTAACCACAACCTTTTGCCCCGCCAAAAATTATATTTCTACTCTATGCAACTCGGCGCCAGCCTTCCCATCTTAACTCCAGACCAACGAAACTCACCACGCAAGCGACCTGCGAAAGCGCGGCATATCACACACCTGGAGAGTCGTCGCTGTCGCTATTGCGAGTTTCAACATCCCTGACTTAACCTCAAAACTACAATTGCTCTGCTCCCCCGCAATCGTCACACGCCTCACCAGGCATTGCCGCAGAAATGGCGTCTCCTCCACCATCCGCGCAAGACGCGAAGCTGGAGATCATCAAGAACCAGGTGTATGAGCAATGTCTTGACGAGGAGCCCGAGACTGTGTTCCGGCAGCAGGATATCCTGGATATGGGAGTCATACCCGACAGTGACGCGGCGCTGCTGCTAGCTGTGACGCAGCGGCTCGTGGATGAGAAGCTGTTCAAGATGGTTCGGGATGGGCAGCTGGGATGGATGTACCGCCCCCTCGAAGACGCACTCAAGTAAGCCCTCCCCCTCAACCCCAATCCCCAATCCCCAGCTCCCAGCACTGCTATAACGGTAGCGGCACAGTGGCTAACCTCCACCCCCCAGATACCGCGGCCTAACCCACGAGCAAGAAATGGTATACTCCCTCATCGACGAATCCTCCACCGAAGGCATCTGGTCCAAGACCATCAAGAACAAAACCGCCCTCCACGAAACCCTCATGCGCTCCGCCCTCAAAGCCCTCGAGACCAAACGCCTCATCTCCGACATGAAGTCCGTCGAGCACCCCACCAGGAAGATGTACATCAAGTCCACCCTCCGCCCCTCCGAGAAGGCCACCGGCGGCGCATGGTACACCGACAACGAGCTCGACGAGGCCTTCATTGAGGGGCTCACGGGCGTGCTGTATAAGTACATCGAGGCCCGCTCGTTTTACCGGTCTACATCCCGGCGCCCTTTAAAGCGCATCGCGGGCCGCCCGGCCCCGAAACCCAGCGCGGGACCCGCGGAGACAATCACGCTCCTCCCCCTTCCGCCGACGTACCGCGGCTACCCGTCCCTAGCAGAACTAACGCTCTTCATCGAGTCCTCGCCCATCACGTCGACCACCCTTTCCGCAGACGACATCTCAGCGCTGCTGGACGTGCTGGTGTACGACCGGCGCGTGGAGCGGGTTGTGGCTGGGCCGGAGGGCGTGGCGTTTAAGGCGGTGCGGAGGGCGATTGTGGGGGAGGAGAGCGTGGAGAGGGGGAGTGGGGTGACGGAGGCGCCGTGTGGGAGGTGTCCGGTGTTTGAGCTTTGTGAGGAGGGGGGGCCGGTGAGCGCGAGTAGTTGTGTTTATTTTCAGGAGTGGTTGACGGGGGGTGGGTTTTGAGAGGGGGGAAATGGGGGGAGGGCGTTTATGGGGTATACCTTGGGATCAGATGGGGGGAGTTTTTGCGGCGTTAGGGGTGGTTTTATTTGTGATTTGGGTGGGGGGAGGGGAGTTTTGGATGTGTACCATGAGGCAGAAATCCTAGTGCTGCATAAAATTTTAGAGATGGGCTGTGGGTGATTACATACAGGAAGTAACTGTAGTTTGAAAATATAAGACTTCTCAATTTACTAAAGGCTGTGGTTGGCGTATTGGTTGGTGGGTTCTCTGAAATCGAGTGGAGGGATGGAATCTGATTAGATTAAATCACTGATACAAATAAATCCCTGGTTACCTTGTGTTGTGGTGCGCAAGAAGTGGTTGTGCGTGACAGCTGTGTTTCTGTTTACAGCAAGCAAGTACGGTTTAAGTACATTATAAATCGAACCGAAGAAATAAACTCATTCTATTGGTTTTAAATTGCTGCTTGTTTTAATCATGAGCTAGCTATATGAAAGCCCTCCTTGACAAGACTTATTTATATGTGGAAGAGACGTACCACTACAGTGATTCAACGTGTCAGCGGGGATGGCGCTGTCTGCGTAGCTTGGAGAGGTTGGCAGGAATGGATGGGTAAGAGAGATAGCTAGTATCGTACGTATGCTTGATAAGTTCACTAGACTACGATAACAATTCACGCATCATAAATCACGCTCGACAAAAGACCACCCATTGAAAGATCTGAAGCTTTTGTTAACTCGCCCTTCGACGAGTTACGGTATCTAGCTAAACCTTACGCTCAAGCGTCGCCAGCACCGCGAGGATATATAAAGTTGCTCACACGGGGAGATGTCGAGTGCTTTACAACTCGCCAGACTTGACAATGGTGGGCTTCTTGTTGTAGTTGACCTTTCCGGAGCCGGAGCCAGTGGCCTCGAGGGCCTTGACAATGTTCAGGGACTCCTCATCGGCGACCTCGCCGAAGACGACGTGCTTGCCATCGAGCCAGCTGGTGACAACGGTGGTGACGAAGAACTGCGAGCCGTTGCTAGGGGGGATGTGTTAGCTGTTTTGTCTCGGAATTGGCACGGGGTTTGTTTTGCCGAGGCAGGGGTGTGTGGCTTACGTGTTTGGGCCGGCGTTGGCCATGGACAGAAGTCCGGGCTTGGTGTGCTTCTTGACGAAGTTCTCGTCGGTGAACTTCTCACCGTAGATGGACTTGCCACCGGTGCCCTGGGGT